GCAAATCAAAGATTGAGAAGTTCGACGGATCGGATTTCGCCTACTGGAAGTCGCAGATGGAGGACTATCTGTACCAGAAGGACTTGTATCGCCCGCTTCTGGGCAAGGAAAAGGGAAAGAAGACGACGGAGTCAGATGGTGATTGGGAGGTACTGGATAGGAAGGCTCTAGGGCAAATCCGGTTGTCGCTCGCCAAATCAGTAGCCCACAATATTCTGAAGGAGAAGACGACGGTGGGGCTTATGGAAGCGCTCGCGAAGATGTACGAGCAACCGTCGGCAGCAAACAAGGTGCATCTAGTCAAAACTCTTTTCAACCTCAAGATGGCAGAAGGACGGTCCTTCACGATGCACCTCAGCGAGTTCAACACGATTGTTGATCAACTTATCTCCGTGGACATCACGTTCGATGACGAAGTGCAGGCCCTTCTACTACTATCGCAGTTGCCGGATAGTTGGGCAGGTTGTGTGACGGCAATCAGCAATTCGGCGGGGAAAGAGAAGTTGAAGCTGAATGAGGTTGTTAGCATGATTCTATCCGAGGAGGTTAGAAGGAAATCGTCCGAATCAGAAGGTTCAGGTTCAGCCCTAAGTTTCGAGCAGAGAGGCAGAAGCCAGAAGAAAGGGAACCAGAACAGGAATCGGTCGAAATCAGTGAAGAAGAGGCCGAACTCGAAGGTTAGGTCTATCAAAGGGAAGTGTTGGAACTGCGGCCAGGAGGGCCATATGTCTTCGGTCTGTAAAGCACCAAAGAAGGATGCGGGTGAGCAGGAGGCTCATATCGTGCAGGATGCCTTGATCCTTGCTATGGATAGCGATTCTGATTCTTGGGTCATCGACTCAGGAGCTTCTTTCCACGCCACTGCAAATAGGAAACTACTTCAGAACTATGTAGCAGGGGACTTTGGTAAAGTATACTTGGGGGATAATGAACCTTGCAATATTGTTGGAAAGGGCGACGTTCAGATACAGATAAAGGGCTCTAAGTGGAACTTGAAGAACGTGAGACACGTGCCGAAGCTGAAGAGGAATCTTGTTTCGGTGGGACAGCTTGGAGCAGAAGGCTACGTTTCGACATTCACCGGGGATTCGTGGAGGATCTCCAACGGTACGATGGTTGTTGCCAGAGGCAACAAAACGGGAACTCTCTACCTCACTTCACATGCGAGTGACACCCTCGCAATTGCAGCTATGTGGACTTTGCATTCAAGTCCATCTCATTCCACTATTTGCATCCAAGCTCATTTGAGAATAAAGAGGATTTTGCTTCTTTTGGACATTTTGGCTTTTGGCTTCAATTGATCATTTTCTTCACTTGCTTGATGGGCTTCATGCTCTTTAGGCTTCTAAATACTACAAAATAGAGAAGAGAGATTTTTGAGGGGTTTTTACATTTAATAATATTTATTTATATTTTCATTCAATTATGTGCAAACTAATCTAACAATAATTATTAATGGTATATTTATTCATGTAAAATAGATAATGAGGGTATAAAATTGTAATAAAATATGATTATCAGTCTTCTTTTGGCGGTTCGAGATACTACGTCACCTTTATCGACGATCACTCGAGGAAGGTGTGGGTTTACTTCATGAAGCACAAGTCAGAGGTGTTCGAGATCTTCAAGAAGTGGAAGGCCATGGTCGAGAACGAGACAGATCTGAAGGTGAAGTGCTTGAGATCAGATAATGGTGGAGAATACGAGCTGGAGGAGTTCAAGAGGTTCTGTGCTACGAATGGGATTCGCTTAGAGAGGACTACTCCAGGGACGCCGCAGCAGAACGGCATTGCAGAGAGGATGAACAGGACCTTGACAGAGCGTGCGCGGAGCATGCGATTACATGCAGGTCTGCCTAAGACATTTTGGGCGGATGCGGTGCATACGGCAGCATACCTTATTAATCACGGGCCATCAGTTCCATTAGATTTTGGGATTCCAGAGGAGGTTTGGAGTGGAAAGAAGATAAATCTCTCACACTTGCGGGTATTTGGTTGCGTGGCTTATGTTCATATCAGTGACCATGTCAGGGACAAGCTAGAAGCTAAGTCACAGAAGTGCACATTCATTGGATACGGCATTGATGAGTTCGGGTATCGCCTTTGGGATGAGAAGAACAGGAAGATCATCAGGAGCCGGGATGTGATATTCAATGAGGAGGTGATGTACAAGGACAGGGACAATGCCAAGGATAGCCAAAGCAGTGGGAGCAGCACTACGGATACAGGTGGATCCGAGTACATGGATTTGGAGGAACTTCCAGATGGGGGCGACGATGTCAGTTCTGACCGTAGAACGGAGGAGACTACAGGTGCAGAAGCTACTACCCAGGGCGTGGAGCCTAGGAGGTCATCTAGGGTACCCAAACCAAATCCCAAATACCTCTCGTCACTTGATTATCTACTCTTAACAGATAGCGGAGAGCCGGAGTGTTATGAAGAGGCAGTGCAAGTGAGTGAATCTCAGCAGTGGGAGCATGCGATGCAGGAGGAGATGGATTCTCTACTCACTAATGAGACATGGGAGTTAGCCCAGCTACCTGCACAGAAGAAAGCCTTGCACAATAAATGGGTCTACCGGGTCAAGCAGGAGAGTGATGGAAGCAAGAGATTCAAGGCCAGATTAGTAGTGAAAGGGTTTCAACAGCGGGAAGGAGTGGACTACACGGAGATATTTTCCCCTGTTGTGAAACTCACAACCATCAGAGTGGTGTTGAGTTTGGTAGCTGCAGAAGACCTCTTCCTTGAGCAGTTAGATGTGAAGACTGCCTTTCTTCATGGTGACTTGGATGAAGAAATCTACATGAAGCAGCCTGTTGGCTTCATTGAAGAAGGAAAGGAAGAGATGGTGTGCAAGCTCAAGAAGAGCTTATATGGTTTGAAACAGGCTCCGAGACAGTGGTATAAGAAGTTTGATAACTTCATGCAGAACAATGGCTACAGAAGATGCAATTCGGATCATTGCTGTTATTTCAAAAGGTTCGAGTCCAGCTTCATTATTTTGTTATTATATGTTGATGACATGTTGGTAGCAGGACCGTGTTTAGAAGAGATAAACAGTTTGAAGAGGCAGCTAGCAAAGGAATTTGCAATGAAGGATCTGGGTGCAGCGAAGCAGATTCTAGGGATGCGAATCAGTAGGGATGAAGCTGAAGGGACATTGAGTTTGAGCCAAGCTGAATACATTGAGAAGGTACTTCAGAGGTTCAACATGCAGAATGCTAAGGTTGTTAGCACACCCCTTGGAAGTCAGTTCAAGTTATCTGAGGAGCAATCGCCTAAGACAGATGCAGATAGAGAGCATATGAGCAGGGTGCCATATTCTTCAGCCATTGGGGGTCTCATGTACGCGATGGTTTGCACGAGGCCGGACATCGCCCATGCAGTGGGAGTTGTGAGCAGATTTGCAAGCAATCCAGGAAAGCAGCATTGGGAGGCCGTGAAGTGGATAATGCGGTACTTGAGAGGGACTACGAGCAAGCCACTATGTTTCAGGAGGAAGGAGATGGTGCTGCAGGGATACGTGGATGCGGACTTCGCCGGTGATCATGATACGAGGCGAAGCACCACGGGGTATGTTTATACCTTAGCGTCGACAGCAGTGAGCTGGGTCTCACGTCTGCAGAAGATTGTGACTTTGTCTACAACCGAGGCTGAGTATGTCGCGGTGACTGAAGCAAGCAAGGAGATGATCTGGTTGAACGGGTGCTTGGAAGAGTTGGATCTGAAGCAAGGGAGAGGAGTTCTTTATTGTGATAGCCAGAGCGCTATACATCTTGCCAAGAATCCAGTATATCATGCCAGAACGAAGCACATCGACGTTAAATACCATTTTATACGCTCGCTGATCGAGGACGAAAAGTTGCACTTAATGAAGATTTTGGGGAGTCAAAATCCGGCGGACATGTTGATGAAGGCAGTCACCATTGAGAAACTGGAGTTGTGCGCAACTTCAGTTGGCCTTCACGAGTAGAAGACGAAGGCGGAGCCACACTACGAGGATCGGCGCGATCGTCGGGATGTTGATTGAAGAAAGAATTTTTCGGGGGAAAAGATACATGCGAAGAAGGGGAGAGTTCGGGTGAGCTCGTTGATGACGCTTTGGTCTCCAAGTGGGAGATTGTTAGTCTAAGTGTGTAGACCCAAAGCTGCAATCGAAAAGACGAAGAAAACAGTCAGAAGACTGTGCGGTCGACCGCAGTGGCAGAGCCGGTCGACCGCGTGCACTGCAGGAGACTGAGAAGAAGTTTTCGCTCTGGCCGGTCGACCGGCGTGGTCGCTGCGGTCGACCGATATCGTGCACAAGACCCTGTAGGATTTCGTCGTTCTGACCGGTCGACCGACCTTGGCAAAGCGGTCGACCGCGACGCAGATTCGCTGTTTCCTATTTTATCTAGGAATCCTGTTCTGCTGGGGTTTGTTATAAATACCCAAACGTTTCTAGGGTTTGTAGGACATCAAAAAAGAGAGTTTTTTTGGCTGCTAAGAGAGAGAGAATCTCAGAGAGATTTACCCCTTGTTTGAGAGCTTGTATTTTCTTCTTCAATTAATAGAAAGATTGTGTGGTGTGGCTCCCGAGGACGTAGGCACGTTGCCGAACCTCGTTAAATCTGTGTGTTCGTCTCTTTTACTGTTTTTACAAGGTTAGATCTTTATTTGTGGTTTATTCCTACTTTCCTACTTTCAACACAAGGTCCGGAAGGGCAAGGGTTCGATTGATTGTTTCGAATCCCCAACACTTTCCATACCCACACCGAAACTTTCATGCACACTCCTTGAATATAGAACAAATACCTTGTGTCCAAAGCGGGCATACCGTACTTCATCTTATATGCTTCTGAGGCAAATAGAAGCGTACATATTCCTATGCTGATCAACACATATTCCTTGTCTAGCGGCAACAGGCATTGCAGTGATTTCGCCGGGAAAGAACTGCCCGTGACAGTCGCAAATACCAACGGACTGATCATTGTTCACTCTAAATATAAGTCACGGTCTAAGGAAAGGAAAAACACAGCAAACAGATCAAAGACCTGTGAGCATAACTTTATTCATGCAAAAGATAAGAAAGGACAACTGGTCATACAATAATGTTGGACATAATCAAGACTAGTTGCCCATTACAGACTTCAGACTTCGCCCGGAGCACAACGTTACTCCGAACCCATAGAAACCTTAGCAGGCTTACATTTATTCCATAGCATTATTCTAAAATCCATAGGATATCACTCAGCCACATCCTATGGCTTAGGAGGAACGATAGTTTTCGGATCCCTCTGCAGTATGCCAAGATATACCACCAGTTCATTGACGGTTTGAGCCACAACCTCTACTGGTTTAAAATCCGGTGCTGGTCCCTCAACCACAATTTTCTGTGGAACCCATTTATAGGTAGGATTAGCATCATAGAACAAAACACATCCAGAGAGCTCTCCCCACCGATGGACTAGTTTCTCGAGCCATTCGGGGGCTTTCAGGCTTTGCTGCCATGTCCTCCTCAGATAGCTACTAATCGGAACAAACCTCGTAGACTCACAGAACATAACAATCACAATGAGCAGCGCTTCGGCTCTTTTCTTGACGTTTGGTGGGTTTGCAAGCCATTGTGCTGCGCTTATGAGCTTCTCACGCCCAAGGGTGACTTCAGTAAGACCTCCTGTTGCGTCGAAGCCAGCTGCGCGTAACAGGGCAGTGTAGTTATGCCCGATACCAAGAAGTGTTGAATCTTTATCGATCAGGTGCTTATCTCCCAGCTCGAACCATTTACCGGCGTCGTTCACGCGAAAGCCCTGAAAGTAGAGCTGGTCGCGTCGGATCCTCAGCCTGACCTTAGTCACCTTACCCTTCTCATCATTGAAAACCAGTACAATGTCGTACCAAGTGAGCTTCTTCACAAAATCAGGATCCTTTTCGTCGAGTACAGTGGTACATACAGGACGATTGCGTGTCCAAGTCTCTGCTAAGTCCTGACGCATCCTCTCGATCTTGCTCACGTAGTTTGCCGCTGTCAGGTCCTTGCTAAGGCTGATCTCTATGGATTTGATCTCGTTGGCCTGCATTTTCTCACTCCCTGCACTGGATAATTGTACGAATAATCTTAAAATGGAAATGACCAGATGATTATGTGAGTTTGGTCTAGGGGGGAAAGGAAAAGGTTTGAAAACATTACATAGAGTTAGATGATACATAGTTAAGCACGCTTGGACTCGTGACTCAAATAGGATTAATCACTTTGAGTGAATATGGGCCAAATACTTCAGAGTTCTGATGAATGGAAGAGATCTTTTACAATAAACAAGAAAATTGTGGGATTTGAGCTCTCTCACTACACTTTAATGGTTTAATGACAAACATTTGATGATATTTGAATGATTATAACTTGTTCATACACTCAGATGAAACTCAGCACTTATTCTCACCCTTCACTTAAAAAAAAAATCATATTGTAATTAAACGATATATGACAATAGTTAAAGAACCAGTGTTAAACATGCAAAGCAACAGAGAAACCCAGATGCCAAAAACTATCATATATACCTTCACCTGCTATCTTCAATCCTTCCTCGGTGTAGCTAACTTTATCTAAGGCTGAGGGGGGTATTTATAAGTGCTGAGAACCAAACCCCAATAATTCATCCTGGTGCCATTTTTTACTTTAACAACACCTACTACGCACAAACGCGAAACATGTGCCCATGAATTATACAGAATGGAGACAAGAAATTGGACCAGTGTACGTGGAAAGTGCATGTGCACAAAAAACAAAATGGGGTATCCAACTTATAACCTCATGCAGTAAATATAAAAAACATATGAAGAAAATAATTAAACAGTTTCAGAAGTTAGTAATTGAAAAAATATATTTCAAAAGGGCTTAGGACCTTGGTTTGGTTGAACCCAGTAAGCTCAAATCCAAATTAATCACCTGTTTTGGATAATTAGTTGGACATAATTTGAACAATAATCGAAGTTGATTAGGTTTAATTACGGAGGCGCTCAAGGGAGTCAAAATATGATATTAAGACTTAGTTTAATGCTAAGAAATGTTGTTGGTGAAGACTAAACTTTACAAAGCTACGGAAGTTATTTATGGTCCCATCCTACGTGTTATTGGCCGTGGGAATTAAATCCTAACCCCACTTCTTTCTTTATATTGATTGATAGTAGCTGTCTCTAATTTATTCTATTTATTTTATACAAGAAAAATATCATAAGTGAAATGTTATGACAAATTCTTTAGGACAAGTTAATATCAATCACATAAGAGAAGGAAAAATATCAAGAACACACGAACACAAAGATATACGTGGTTCGGCTTGTAGCCTATACGTCCACGGGCGAAGGAGGAGAAAAGCTTTACTAATTGTGAGGAATACAAAGTGGATCTCTCAATCTCTCAATCTCAAATCATACCCCAAAAGCCTAATAAAACTCTCAACTAAAGGAACAAAAGAGAAGAATATCAAATAGGCTTCACAAAAGAACTTTCTCTTCTTGATTGGTGCTCTGAAGATTGATGCTCATATTTGGCTTAAAAGACTGTTCTTATATAGCCTTGAAGATCCCCAACTTATTGCTGTCTAAGGAATAAGAGTTCTAATAGGAATAGAAGTCCACGTTCTAAAACCCAACAAAATTCCCAGTAGGAATAAACCTCTAATATGATTGGTTGTGCAAAGTCTAATATAAGCAGGACTCTTGATCAAAACAAATCAAGCTAAAAAGTAACTCCCAAAGCAATATGGGTTTGAGTATTTGAGGCAACCTATAATAAATCTCCACCTTGACTCAAATGCGTAGAAGATTCCTCACTCCAAAATAAGATAACTTACTCCACCTTCTCCAATAGCCCCGTAGGGTATCTAAGTGCGGCATGTATCGATCAAGTCCAAGCCCGGGTTGAACTTGCTAACTAAAAGAGGCATCCTCAACATATCGACTGAATTGTCCGCATGACGACCATAAATATTAGCGAAGTCATCACCTGAAATAGCTCCTGAATAGCTGAAGGGCACAAAATTGTCAACCGACAATGCATAAGCTACTGTATCTTCATATCTCCACGGTGGTCGGATATCTCATCTAGAACGATCTCTAGCAATAATGTATTCCCACACTTCCTACAGCTGCTGAGGTGCTTCATATACTTGAACGGGATCTGGCTGCTAAACTCCCGTAGTCTTATCCCCTGTAGTGCGCACCTTATCAACAACTGAAATCAATGACCGTTTCTGATGGAACATAGCAGATTCATCAAAAGTAACATCACGGCTAATAATAATCTTAGGAGACTTCGGATCAGGACACCACAACCTAAAACCTCTAACACCCGATGCATAATCTAGAAATAGGCACTTCTTCACTCGCGACTCAAGTTTCCCTTGACTAACATGTGCATATGCAGGGCAACCAAATTTTTTAAGATTAGAATAATCCGCAGGATTACCGGACCAAACCTCCTCTGGAGTTTTACATCTAATAGCAGTAGATGGTGACCGATTCAATAAGTAACAAGCCGTATTCACTGCTTTTGTCCAGTGTTCTTTTCCTAAATCTGCATTGAACATAATACAATGAGCTTTCTCTAATAAGGTTCTATTCATACGTTCTGCCACTCCATTCTGTTGCGACGTGCGAGGGACTGTATGATGTCTAACGATTCTCTCCTTCTTGCAGAATTCATTAAATTCTCCTCTACAGAACTCAAGGCCATTATCAGTTCTAAGCCTCTAAATCAGCCTCCCTGTCTGCTTCTTAAGCAAAGACTTTCACTGCTTGAAAGTCACAAACACCTCATACATATGTCACAAAAAATAGACCCAAACCTTTATGGAGTAGTCATCAATAAAGGTCAATAAATATCTAGAACTACCATCCTTCGAGGAAACTTGAGAAGGTCCCCAAAGATCTTAATGGATATAATCCAAATTAAGTACATTTAGTCTAATGTACTGCTGTACTAAAACTGACTTTTTTCCGCTTCCCAAAGATGCAATACTTGCAGAATCCTAATTTTCCTGTACTCTGTTAACATAAAAGACCCTTCTTACTCAACTCGTTCAATCCGTGCTCACTCATATGACCAAGTCTCATATACCATAATATGATAGTATCAACTTCTAACATAACATCAATGATGCAACTGCAGCCGAGCTGGTAATGGTAAAACTCTATAAAACATACAAGCTGCCGATCTTCTTTCCTTTCATAACCACAAGAAAGCCTTCTGTAACCCTAAGAACTCCACCTTTACCTGAAAAATGGCACCTAATGCTATCAAGAGTGCCCAAAGAGATGAGATTCTTCCTTAAACTGGAACATGCCTAACATCTGTCAAAGTCCTGATGACTCTATAATACATCTTAATCCGAATTGTACCTTTCCTAACAGTCTTGCATGAGGCGTTATGCCCCATAAGAACAACTCCACCAACAATTAGCTTCATAAGTGGTAATGAGTGCCGATTAGGACACATATGATATGAACAACCCGAATCTAAAATCTAAACATCCATGTTCCTGTTTATATCATCTATAGCCAACAAAATCACATCTTCAGCAATATCAACTTTAGCGGAGTCCTCCTTTGATTTTTCTTCATACTCTTCTTGTTTATATTTGTTCTTCAATCTGTAACAATTGATCTGGATGTGCCCTTTCTTCTTACAATATCTGTAGGTTAGATTCATGTACTTCGACTTATACCTGTTACCTTCAAAGCCCCTTTCTTCCAATCTTCCTCGAACAAACAATCCATCAACTTTATCGCCACTTTTACTTGTGGTTAACTCTTTGTCGATCTTCTCCATATTCAATAAGTTCTTTTTGACGTCCTTGATACCAATAGAATCTCGACTGTAAATCTTAGTATCCTTGAAGTGCTTGTAGGAAGGTGGCAAAGAACACAATAACAATAGGGCTTGATTTTCATCATCGATTTTAATATCAATCTTACTCAAATCTGTAATCACAGAATTAAATTCAACAATATGAGATTTGATTGGTGTTCCTTCCGACATCCAAAGTGTGTATAAAGGCTGCTTCAAGAGGAGGCGATTAGTGAGCGACTTCGTCAAATACAAATTCTCCAATTTAGACCACAAATCAGCAGTTGTTTTCTCCATGAGAACTTCTTGCAAAACTTAGTTTATCAAACATAATTGGATTGCTGTGAGAGCTCTATCATCCAACTCGTTCCAATCTTCCTTCGTCATAGTAGTCAGTTTCTTTGACTTCCTGCACAAAGCCTTCTTCAATCCTCTCTGTGCTAACACGGCGATCATCCTAACTTGCCAAAGTGAAAATTGATGTTGCCATCAAACGTCTCGATATCCCACTTCGTAGTAGTTGTCATCATCTTCTTGTTCGATCAATAGCTGAGTGCTCTGATACCAATTTGTTATGACAAATTCCCTAGGATAAGCTAATATCAATCACACGAGAGCACAAAAAATACCAAGAACACACGAACACAAAGATATACGTGGTTCGGCTTGTAGCCTACGTCCACGGGTGAAGGAGGAGAAAAGCTTTACTAATTGTGAGTAATACAAAGTGGATCTCTCAATCTCTCAAAATCCCAAATCACACCCCAATTCCTTGCTTTGAAGATTGATGCTCATAATTTGCTTGAAAAACTGATCTTATATAGCCTTGAAGATCCCCAATTCCTTGCTATCTAAGGAATAAGAGTTCTAATAGGAATAGAAGTCCACGCGTCCTAAAAGCCAACAAGAGTCCCATAGGAATAAACCTCTAATATGATTGGTTGTGCAAAGTCTAATGTAAGTAGGACTCTTAATCAAAATAAATCAAGCTAAAAAGGAACTCCCAATGCAATATGGATTTGAGTATTTGAGGCAACCTATAACATGAACACAGTAGTCTGTTGCTCGATACTAACTGTCTCTACTTTATTTTATGGGGAAAAGTTCTTCTCGCCTCAAAATCAAAAAGCTAATTTGTTGTACCTCTGTTAGTGTTAGCAAGCCAAAAATCTCCCTAAATCCACTTTTTTATGCTCCTAGCCCTCTAAATTTGGTGCCATATCACCAGTGATTCACAAAAAGAAAAAAGTAATTTAAAAAAGGAAAAAAAACAACTCATATGCATAAAGGTTTACAAATGTGAGAGGCGAAGATTTGAACCTTGAGCTGGAAAGGAGAGAGTTCAGAAGAATTATACACATTCAAGGATGAAATTCTCCTTAAATAACAAAAAGCATTAATATCACATCGACCACACGTAGTTATTTTCTCTTTCATTGACCATACACAAATTCTTGCTCATACTGTTTAATTGGCATAACTTGTGCCATCCTTTGTGGCGCCCCTGGGTTCACACAAGACTGCAGTCCGAGGTGAAACCAGGAATGTCAAACCTGCCATGCACCACACCGTGCAATAACATGTTTCACCATCATAATTACTACCTCTCTAGTAGAATCAACAACAGGTGTAGGTACAAAGCAAGTAAAAAATTTTACAATAAGTACATGATGAAATGATAGATCTCAGATTAATACATCTCATCAATCAAATCAGCTGGAATACATAGTCAATGTCTGAAATGAATAATAACAGTCTGGAGATCTTAACATGTCTCAAAATACAAAACATCTGATACATGAAATAAGGCACAC